GGCATTTTCTTCCTGAATTGTTTGTCATTTCTCTGATGAACTTAGAAGTCTGATCCATCAATTCAAATAAGAATTGGATGTATAAACTATGCCTTGCATTCCTTCAGCAAGAGAAAATATACATTAATAAAGAAAAAGGTTAATTTAATACATTTCCTGTTATACTTAATTCATATATTAAAACTGCCAAAGTCCTTAATTATTTTTCTAAAAATTTTATTAAAGCCAAATATACTGCAAATTGGGTTTGCTATACGAAATCTTTGCATTTAGGTAAATATTAATCTCCTGTAGGAATTGCATTTTGTTAAACTTTATAGCCATCATTTATTTTTTATCTATCTTTCCTTGTAATTTTCTTTCTGTCTGCCCTCAGGGAACAATATGAGAGCTTTTCAAGCACTAATTTAACACCTATCAATTTCTACCAATGAAAATCAAATATACAATGTTATATAAACATTCTATTCATGGGGCTGAGGATGTGGGGGAGGAAGGCAATTCATTTCTGCTGTCTGTTCTCTTATTTTAAAAGAAATAATTTCATTTGATCCTATGCATGCGATTGTAAGCTAATACTAGTCTCTCTAAAACATGAAAACATAGAAGGCTTTGCTCACATTGAGGAAAAAAAAAGGAGGTTGGGGGAAGGGTTACTAAAAGAACATTGGACTTAGAGACAAACTGGGGATTCATTCCCAGGTTTGCCTCTTAGGGGGCTGTGTAACCTTGTGCAAATTCACTTTATTTCCCATTTTCCTCATCTCTAAAAAGGGAGAGTCATACTGGGTATTGGCCTCTACTTTGGATAAGGTTCCATTTTGTGTCCAGCATTCTGTGACCTTATTGATATGTAAGCATTTGGGTCCTTAAGCTTTTTTCAATCATGGACCCCTTTGGCAATCTAGTGAAGCCTGTGGAACCTTTCTTAGAATGTTTGTTGCCTAAATTCATCGTGGTAGGAAATGCTACATTTTAAATAGAGGTTATAAAAATAAAGATGCAATCTCCCCAGTCCGCTCTGAGTTCATAGACTTTCTGAAATCTATCCATTAATCACTTGGGGATCCATGGGATCCAATTGAAGTGCTTATAAATTAGAGGTTAAGGATTGAACTTCCAATTTCTTTAATTTAGGGAGCTCCCAGGTAAAGATATTCCCTTTTCCAATGCAAGTCAGAACCTTATCTGCAACTGAATGTCTCAGTTCCCTAGAGCATTGAGAGGTGGAATCATTTTTCCAAGATTACACAACTCATTATGTATCAGAGGTGAGACTTGAATTCAGGTCTTCCTGGTTTCGAGGACAGCTAGAGAGCTATCTACTAGGGGGCACAGTGGATAAAGCGCTAAGACTGGAGTCAGGAAGACTCATCTTACTGTGTTCAAATCTGGCCTTAAACACTTACTAGGTATTGGACCCTGGACAAGTCACTTAACCCTGTTTGCCTCCGTTTCCCCATCTGTCAAATGTGCTGGAGAAAGAAAAGGCAAACCACTGCAGTATCTTTGCCAAGAAAGACCCAAAAGGGGGGGAGGTCCCAAAGAGCCGGACTTGACCGAACAACTCTATCTACTATGACATGGCAGCCCCTTCCATTGTTTTATTAAAATATCCAAAACATAGAAGTTGTTAGGCAGATCTCTTGATGCTTTTAGAAATTATTGCTTTGTTTCTGAAGAGGCTTTCATGATTCCCAGTCCTACGTTGCCAACTGTTTTCTAGACAGCTGAACCAGAAGCATGTCCCATAGGCATCTCTAACTTGACATGTCCCAAACAGAATTCATTATATTTCTCTCACAAATCCTCTCTGCCTTCAAATGTCCCTCTGTCTGTCGAGGGTACCACCATCATTCTCATCACTCAAGTTTGTTACCATGGAATTATCCTAGACCCTTTCCTTTCCCTCAGTCCCCACTTCTATGAAATCAATTGCCAATTCTTGTCTATTGAAACTCACTGAAAAAATCTTAGGAGGCATCTAGCTGGCTCATTAGATAGCGAACTAGGCTTGGAGTCAGGAAGACCTGAGTCAAATCTGGCCTCAAACATTCATTAGTTGTGTGATCCTGGGCAAGTCTCTTAACATCTGTTTGCCTTAATACACTGGAGAAGGAAATGGCCAACTCATATCTTTGCCAAGAAAACCTCATATGAGGTCACAAAAAGTCAGACAAGGCTGAACGACTGAACAACAAAAACCACACCTCATATCTATCTTCTTTTCTGTACTCACAGCCTCTACCCCAGCTCAGATCATCTCCCTGGGATCATGGTCTTTCTGCTTCCAATCTTTTCCCATTCAGCTCATCTTCTCTTCTGTCCCCTTCCCCTCAGAGTTTTTTGTTATTGGTTTTTTTAAACCCATTTGGAAGGGGATGTTGGCCAAAGGCAGCCTGACAGAGTTGGTAACCCAGCCCTAACAAATAGCTATGCTGCCATGTTTTTTTATTTTATTTTTATATTTTATTTTGTGTTTTATATATATATATATATATATATATATATATACATATGTGTGTGTGTGTGTGTGTAAACTTCAGGGAGAAAAAAGGACAGGATCTATTTTTTTTCCCTTTACCCTCCTTTGGGAAGCTTACATAAAAATATCAATCAATGAGATTCTCTTTTATGGTTCTTGATGCTTTAAGGGGAAGCCAGGAGGAGGTGGCACAGAAGTTCAGACAAATCAGAATCTCAAAATCTGTACCGTCTATCCATCTTTCTCTCCCTCCCTATCTGTCTTTTCTCTTCTCTTCTCTCCCTCTTCTCTCTCTCTCTCTCTCTTCCACCCATCCTTCCTCCCTCCTTCGTCTTTCTGACCTTTTTCCTTCTCACGCATATATGCCTAAACACACTAATCACTCTTCCTCCCCTTTGAAACTCCCCATTTACAGTAATGAAGCAACAAACCAAAGCAGGTATGAATGATGAAGTTTTTAGGCTAGCAATGTTATTAGTTTAAACAGAACATATAAACCAACTTTAAAGGACAGACATACTTTGAAATTGACATCTGACTTTCTCAGACAGAAAGGAGGCAAGGCAAGGCAGGTCCTTCACTGCCTACATGAGACGGAGGATCTAGAAGGGATATTTACCATAATCAGATCTGCCTTTCTGCTTGATCCACAAACAAGTCTCATGTAAACCTATAGGTCAGACAGAGGTGGCTCTCTGGGGCTATCCCAGTCTGTCTATCTGTTATTACTTGAGGTAACATAATAGAAATCAACCAATTGGTCAATAAACCTTTATTAAGCATCTATTATGTGCCAGGCACTATGTGAAATGCTGGAGATAAAGAAAAGGCAAAAGAAAGTCATTTGCAAATATGCAAATAAATATATAGATAGATATAAATATATAGATATGAATAAATGTACACAAAGCAATGATAAATAGGAGATAATTCACAGAGAGAAGGTAATGGAATTAAGAGGGGTTGGGAAGGGCTTCTTGTAGAAGGTAGAATTTTAATGGAAATTTAAAGGAAGAGGAGAAGTTCAGGAGTCAGTGAAGGAGGTTGAGCATCTAGGCATGGGGGACAGCCAGAGAAACACAGTGCCTGACATGTCGCAGGTAATTAATGCTTACTGATTGATGGAGTTACAAAGTGCCAATTTATAAATATTTCCAGAAACACTGGAAAGCTTTGAATCTCATTTCATGCTTATATCCTTCCTTTTCTGACCTAAACAGCAAAACATTAATTAGCCAAGAAGCTTTATGGTGTGGTGACAAGAAGGCTAGTCTCGGAGTTGGCATGAGCTGAGTTCAAGTTCTAAGACATAGATATGTGATCATGGAAATATCACTTTCTGTGGCAATAGAGTACTGCAGCTTAAGGATTGGTCGTGGAGTCAGGAAGATCTGAGCTCAAGAACTGCCTCGCATATAGATTGGTTTTGTCATCATGTGCAAATTATTTAACCTCTAAATGACCCCAAACAATTCTCTAAGACTCTCAAGTTTTAGATCAGTTGCCAATCTACATCAGATGTGGAAGGCAGTTTTCACATTGAAAGTGTTATACACTGATGAAATCACAGGTAAAAAACACAGTGGGTAGAAAATAAGTAAGAATTTCAACTGAATATCATATAATAAGGAAAGTATATTTTAAGCTCATGGTATTGTTCAGAAAAGTACTATTACCCGTCGACTCTCTTTAGATCTTAGCATTGGCTTCAGAACCCTTCCAGCTCTGAGTCCTAAGCACAATGAAAAGTGGATGCCATTTTAGTAGCATTGTTGAATACAATGATGGTAACAACCTCCATTTAGTGCCTATGCAGAGAAAGAGAATGTGGATATTGAATGAAGAAGTGTGGATTAAAAGGGAAAACATACTGAAAAGATGCTTACATAAAACTAACCAAGCTCATCTTCCAAATAGAATGAGAAAATAAAAACATATCCATATATTCTCTTGTGAGAAGAGGTTGTGTGGGGTACAATTGGTTTTTTTTCTGTTTTTGGAATTTCTAAATTAAAAAAAAATGAGATACTTTGTGTAAAATTTTATAATGACCTCCAAAAAAATTCTTCCTAAGAAAGTATAAGTTTAAAGAAAAATGTTGACAATTAACCAGAAGCTTTTCAGTCCTCTTAAAATATCCAGTTCCATGATTTTCCATCTAGGAAATCTGATTTGGGTGATTTTTTTTCTGATTTCCCATGACTTGTAAAATAAATAGCTTTGACTCTTACTCTTAAGATCATAATTGGGCGCTGGTAGTGTGGTACTGGTCATGCGAAGAAAGGTCAAGTTGGTACTGCTTCCAGTAGATATAAAGCAATAGACCAGGGAATTTCTTTAAGCCACATCTGAACCAGAGAGAGCCAGGGCTAAAGACAGATTTATTTTTACATCCCTCTTTATTCCTTTCTCCTTAGTTCTTTTCACTCTTCCTATCCTGGCTCATCTCCTTGGTGGCCTCTTACCTTTTTTCACCCTTTTCACTCATTCTCTTTCTCTCTTTTTTCATTTAAAGCTTTCCTTCACTTGGAAAACAGGACACGGACAGAACATCTAACTTCAGACAGCCATCAGGAGTAAGTACTAATCACACCTGTCCTGACTAAGCCATGTCTGAAGACTCACTCCTTCTTCTGGGCTTAATAGGATAATGCTAGTAGTGAAAAAGAAATTGAGAAATGTGGTTCTACCGATAAGGGAAACCCACCATAAAGTGTGAATTAACTGCTGTGCACCAGATTAGCTTCTGGAGTGTTTCATTACTATTGTAGTACCTCTTTTACACTTCAGCTCTTTGCAGACATATCACCTGAGATAATGACCCTCCATCTATTTGAACAGGTGCAAGAAAGAAACTAGCTTTTAAAAATCCATTCACGCATGCACACACACGTGTACACGCACACATACACACATCTAAATTATAGAATAGAATGTTTCATCTCTAAAGTAAATGTTATGAAGTTCCCTGCTTGACTCATCATTCATGATTTACTCATATCACAAATTAAAAAGTAATTTTGAAATAAGATGACAGATTGGACCAGAGGCATAAATCTAGGCTATCTATCCAGGAAGTGTAACTGTGCATAATAACGTTATGGGAACAGCTGCTGTCTTTGTGTAGCTCACTACACAGGCTGCTTTTGTAGACCCTAACAAGGACAAAACCAATTAGCAGATTAGAAATTGCCAGAAATCAGAGATACTCAGCTAGGGTAACAGTAAAAATGAATGGTGTTTTTTGTTTATGTGGGTATCTGATGCCAATCTAAGGACTGAAGAGAAGGAATGTTTCATGCCTCACCATGCTCCACAAACAGCTGGCTCTTACCTATAATATGCTTAATGCAGTAGCCAAATTAAATAGGTATAGGGTACATTATACATCTGAAAATGCTCTTAAGATGTATGGCATTGACTCTTATCACGGATCAAAGTCAGCAATCAGGGGTTTTGGAAAATAAGTCTAGCTCCCCTTAGAACATTTTAATAGTTTCAAGTAACATGTAAAGGGTGTATTTCAAAGAAGATTTCATTTAGATGTAAATAGGAACTGCAAATTATCAAAAGAAATAGGACTTTTTCAAAATCCTTTTTTTCTAGAGATTTGGGATCAAAGACACTTTTTTTGCAACTTGAAAAGTAAATATCCCCAATTTGAATCCTTTTTTCCCCCAAATTGGAGCTCCTTCAATTATCCTTGGAACAAAAGCTATTACTTGGTTTCCAGTATTAATTTCCCACTGAAGACTGGAGTAACTGAGTTCATGGGAAGTGGGCTATAAAACTCTAGTTCATGTAAGGTTATGGTTCTGGGATCTGAGCTTTTGACAGTTTCAGTTTTAGTGTATAATTAAATATAAGAGCAATAAAACATTCATTATTATTATTAATTATGGTTGATACACAGTAATACTAAAGCCAGAAGAATCTGTAGACATTTCATTTAGTCTGCTATGAAAGGCTTACCATCCTAGGTGGGATGTTTTTATGATTTTTAATCTTAAACTCTTGGAAGTTTAATGAGCTTTCATCCCCATTCAGTTACTTATCCAAATTCCTATAAAACTTTACCCAGCAAGAAATTCTACTTGAAATGTGATTCACTCTCTTCTACCTTTCTAAAACCTTTCTTCCCCGAAGGCCCAAATCAGGTTCTTTTCAGTAGGACACAGGGCCACTAAACCATATATCAGGATCCCTGTGGGCTGCATATTGATTTAAGAAACCGTATATTAATATTATCTAAGTTCTATTGTATTTTTATTTATTTTGTTAAATATTTCCCAATTACATTTTAATCTTGTTCAGGCCATTGCTGTAGCCCCCCTCTTTCCCTCACCCTTAGTCCCCATCTTCGATAACTGCCAAGTCTTGTCAAGGCTTTTTTCATGTTATTAGTCATATCCATCTCTTCTTTTTCCTTCCTGATGCTACCTCCTTAATTCAGAACTTTATTACCTTATGACTAAATTATCCCAATTAATTACTAATTAGTCTCCTTGTTTCCATCCACACTTTTCTTCTATCCATCCTGCTTATCACCACTAGGCTAGTCTTCCTAAATCATCAACCATCCTGTTACTTTTTCCTCTGCTTAGAATTCCCAATTGGTTGTCATTGCTAATTGAATGAAGTCCCATCTTTACATCCTGATATTCAAAGTCCTCCACAACCCTACTCCAACCTTTCTTTGCAATCCCATCTTCTGCTTTTCCTTTTTATGAGCTTTCTGTTCTGGCCAAACTGAGTACTCACTGTTTCAGGAACATTATGTCACTTTTTGTTTTCCTTCTAAGGACTTGACTGCTAATATTATCATTCCCCCTGAAATTACTTCTTACCCTCTCAGCCCTCACTATATCTCTTCTGGGCAACATTTTTTCAATCCTTCAGGGCCCAGCTACAAAATGTGTAGTGTAAGGTGTTGTAGCACCAGAAAGAGACAGAGAGTTGGGGGGGGGAGGATGTATACGTGTAAACACCCTCCCATACATAGGATAAACATGTAAGTTCACTGATAAAATAATTCTTGGTAAGGAAATCCTACATATGCAGATTGGTAGCTCTTCTACCACTGATCCATTCTTAGATAGTTACCTCAGGATATGGTCCATAGGTCATCCTGACTCATCATTCCACCATGCTGCCTCTGTGTGGGTGTGCGTTTGTGTTGTCCTGCTCTGATGTCAGAGGAAGCGTACCTGGTTAATGTCCTATTTCTGACCCATTGATTCTGTGACTCTGGTCAAGTAACAACCTCTCACTCCAGGCCACTCTGTATGACTGTTGATAGCAAAACAGTTTCTGCCATGTATTGATTGGGGGAGTTTCTTCACCATGAGCCAGTTTCTTATACCAATGAAATCACGCATCTTGACTCTGAGTGAGTATATCTATATGTATACGTCTGTGTTTACTGTACTTATATCACAGACAGACACACAATCTTGCATATCCTTAAAATCAAGCAAAACATAAATAATAGTCTCAATATGACCTACCAATGAAATCGTTAAACTGGTCTCCAGTCTTGAAAAAATTGCATTTTCTCATGTGCATATATGCATACACACATATATCTATATCAACATTTATATGTCAACAAAAATATTTGTTGTTGTTCAGTCATTTCAGTCATGCTTGACTCTTCATGACCCCATTTGGGGTTTTCTTGGTAAAGATACTAGAGTGATTTGCCATTTCCTTCTCCAGCTCATCTTACAAATGAGGAACTGAGGCAAATAGGGTTAAGTGATTTATCTAGGGTCATATAGCTGGCAAGTGTCTGAGGCCAAATTTGAACTCGGGGAGATGACTTTTCCTAACTGGAAGACCTGACACTTGATCCATTGTGCCACCTAGCTTCCCTTAATGAAAATATGTTGTTTCCAAATAATTTAGACAAATACACCCTTGGATTTATGGTTAATATGGGAACAATCTTGCAGCTATTAAGGAGATTAATTCAGTCTGATGGTGCCCTGCAGATGGAGTCTGACTAAAAGGTGGCAATATTTTTGATGAATGTTACAACAAACAAAACCGTTTCCTTTTTAAAAGTAGGATAAAGGTTCAAATTCAGCCCCAGGTTTTCAACATCATTGGCCATCATAGTATAGTGTGTTTAGATGGATCTTGGATTTACAGCTCGAAGGGACTTTTGAGATCATCTAATCCAGCCATCTCATTTAATAGAAGAAGAAACTATGGCCCAGAGAGATTTAAGGAGTCATCCAGGTACTAAATGTCAGAGTTGAGACTAACCAAATCTTCTGACTTCAAATCCATTCCACTGTGTTTGAGCCTTTGTTGTCATTCATCCGTGGTTTCTTGTTAGAGGTAGAAGATACAGAACATTTAGAAACATGGTCCTTGGGGAATCTTATTGAAAGTTAAAAATAGCTGGTCCTTGGAAGGAGTTGGCCCAAACTTGCTCCAATCTTTACGTTCGTATTTTTAAACTAAATTAAAACAGCTTGTATTTCTATGTAATGACAGAGAGAAATGTAGTTATGTAATTTGTGATGATTGTGGAGCAGGTTGGCAAATCATGAAGAATTTCATCTATTTTTACTAAATATTTACATAAAGACACCATGTATACATATATATGCATATAAGCATATACATTTTACATATATGATAAATATATACGTATCCGTAATCTTCTTTACTTTATACTTTGTTGCCTTTTCCTCAGTTCTGGTAGAAAACTTGTACCTATATATTTATTTACAAACTACTACAAAAATTTTTTATGAATATTACTTTCTATAACTTTCTTTTATCATGCTAGTAATACTGTTGGATTAATATTCTTATCACATATGTCTGTAATGATTAAAAAGTGATTAAATGAAGAAGAATGAAAGTTGAATATTACCCAAAGAACACTATAAAGGAACATGGTTAGGCTGCGTGTAATATTTACATTGTAAACAAAAATGATACTAGGAAAGTCACAAGAAAGATGTCATGAGAGAGATATGGCTGAAAAGATATGACTGGGGGAGGAACAGCTCACATATTTCACTAGTATAAGTCTCATGTCAGAATACATAGCAGAATGGCCCCACTATGTTGATTGGACTTTCTGTGGAGAGTTTGCAAGAGGTCATAGACAAGAGTCACTCAGGATAAGTGGTCATGATTGAGTTGTGATCTAAATTGTGGGAATGTATATTCATGTCAATGAGATCACAGATTCATTGAAGTCGTGTGGTATTTAATTGACGACAGAACATGTTTGTTGGACAATTGTTTCTGATTAACTTCAAGATATTACTTAGATGAAATTTGTGATCAATTAGGAAAATTATATTCATATTTTGATTTCTGATAAAATATTCTAAGCACAAAATAGTAGCACTGATATTTACAACAATTCTAGCAAGGGGTTTAAGGTCAACCATTACATGTGTATCCTACATTAGGGTTATCACCTCTCTCTGCTTGCTACAGGAATATTTTCTTTAATCATTCTCATCCCACTCCCCAGGTAATTAAAGTGGCATTTTCTGATATTTTCATATTAATTACTACAATTACAACATTTTTTCATTTATTAAATAATTAGCTCTGAGCTCCCATACCAATTCAT